GGATCTGGATCTCACGGGATCGCCTCCATTCTCGCTCCGATACAGCATTGAGAGCTCCAAGGGCGTTGTTTCTAAAGTACAAGCCATCGATGGAATGCGCACGCAGCTCGATTTCACCCCGTCGGAAGCCGGCTCATACACCTATCGCTTCATAGACATCGAGGATGCCGTGTACTCGCCACGGTCTCTCAAGATACCGGTGCTTGAACAAGATGTGAAACCACCGGCTTCGGCTCATTTCCTATCAAGAAATTTGAGAACCGCCTGTTTCGGTGAATCGATTTCTGTGGAGGTGTCTTTCCTTGGAGAGGCACCTTGGGTCTTGCAGTATGAGATCGTCCACAATGGGAAGAGACTGAGAAAGACACTGGAATCCGAAACCGATGTGGCAACTATCACGACTGACAAACTGACCAGTGGTGGTGACTACACCGTGTCTCTGACCAGCGTCAAGGATAAGTCTGGTTGCAAACGAACTCTCAAGGACAGTCTCAATATTGAAGCCCGGTCACAGCCCCCGCATGTCTCTTTCGGTCAGATTGACAAGAAAAGAAGTGTCTTGGCTTTGCAGGGCTCCAAGATTGAGATTCCATTGAGGCTGAGTGGCGAACGCCCTTGGACTGTCAAGTATAAGAACGTTGACGTGGACTCGGCGCCTGTTCAGAAAAACTTTTGGGACGAAAACAGTATCTTGACCGTCGACAAGCAGGGTCTTTATGAGATCAGCGAAGTATTTGACGTTGGTTGTCCTGGAACCGTGGACCAGTCTGCAAATGAGTTTGAGGTCTCGTGGATTCCACGGCCCCAAATCACTGCCCTAGACGGCTCTCCCATTGGAGTCGCTAAGGAGTTTGCAAAGTCTGAGGTCTGTCAAGGTGACGATGATAGCCTTGAGGTTCGGCTGTCGGGCAATCCTCCATACAGTGTTCAATACGAGAAGCGACGCAAGGCGGACCGTGGAGGATTCTCTGCGGCGAAACCACGGGCTTTGAAGTCCGCCCTTCATGTGACTTCTATGGAGATGGATACCTCCGAGGCTGGAGAATACAGTTACAAGTTCACACAAGTTGGTGACAGCCTTTACGACCATGATCCCAAGAGCAAAGCTATGGTTGTGACACAAAAGGTCAACCCGCTACCATCCGCTAAATTCGACCAACCTGGCCACGTTTTTGGCTTCTGCAAGGAAGACATCAACGGCGAGGAATCCATCCCCATTACTTTGGAGGGTGTCCCACCGTTCTCCCTGGAGATCAACATCAAACACCACTCGAATGCCAAACCGGAGATTGTCACAATTCCCAAGATTAATTCCAATCGCCACAAACTGCTGATTCCTCGTCGCCATCTTGACTTGGGGCAACACCAAGTCAGCATCCACAAGGTTCGCGATTCTAGAGGATGTCAAAAGACCACTGACCTCGATGCCTCCTCGGTGCGGGTCGCCATCTCCGATGTTCCTACCATTATCCCGCTCGAGTCCAAGGTGGACTACTGTGTGGGCGAACGACTTTCATTCTCGCTGTCAGGCCATGGTCCATTCGACGTGTTCTATACCTTTGACGGTGCTAAGCGCAAGGCCACTACTCAAACCTCTAATTTCCGTCGTATTGCGGAGCTTCCCGGTCAGTTCACTATCAATGCCGTCAGTGACGGGGCCAGTGGGAAATGTAAGGCCCACAAAGACATCACCAAGATCATCCACGCTATGCCAAGCGTGCGGATCAGCAAGGGCAAAGAATCGGTGGTGGACATCCATGAGGGTGGAGAAGCCGAGCTTCACTTCGAGTTCTGGGGTACACCACCATTCGAATTCACGTAAGTTAATAGCCTCTACCCATGTTGTCTGTACCGCAGTCTACTAACATTCCACAGATACATCCGCAGTTCCAATGTTCGCAAGGGAAAGAAGTCGGAGATCCTTGATATTAAGCACGACATCTCCTACGAAAACATCAAGACCATCAAGACCTCTGATGAGGGAACTTACGAGGTTATCGCGATCAAGGACAAGTACTGTTCATTCTCTTCCCAGACCCCGTCGGGCAAGTTGGACAGATGAAGCAGAGAAATCAAATGATGTGATGAATGTGGTGTAATACTTGGTGTTTTTATGAATCTTGTTATTTACCTTGCCTTTTGGCTCTATTTTTTTATTTTTTATTTCCAATTTGTTGCATTGCAGCGGCGCTAGCACTTCAGTTTCAGATATCTACATGCTTTCTGTCCAACTAATTCAACTTTGTCTACAAAGACGGTCACATCTGACTTTCAAATCTAAGCTCTGTTGGTGTCAATTTAAGCCTAGGTGTATTACGAGCCTGTTCCCACCCAGGCATATGACAGAGACAATAACAGATATACTTGGAATAAGGCTAAGTCGACCTATTAAGAAGCAATGCAAGCAGTTCAGCTCAAGTGAAGTCCAGGCTCATATGTAGAAGGTGTCGTAGATAGCCGGGTATTCTATCGGCCAATCTGACATCTCCTCAACATCGTAGATCTCACAGGTGCCCTTCCAGTTCGCTAGCTCTTGAGGAGCATACGGGCACATCTGGACCTCTGATAATGACTCGTGGAGATTACTACTTCTTCAACTAATTATCTCGGAAACCTCCCTACACGACACCCAGCATAGTGGTCTCTGCGTTCTATTGTGGGTATGAAAATATGCCCACACAACTCCCCGGCATTAGCATCGCAAGCTTTTGTTGAAAATGTGGAATGATGCAGTGGTAATAGTAGTTTTGATGGCTGTGGCCTATAGAGGAGAAAATGAACGAGTTCAAAGGGAAGGCTCCTTTAAATATCAAATATCAAATATAATGAGCCAAACAGACAAGCAGTAATAGGCTCGGATTCAAGACCTCTCGAGACATATATACTTGGAAAGCAGAATGGTAAGAGTTGAAGATTTGGAAAGGTGAGTTGGGAATTTGAGGGAATAAAGCGTTTGATAGCATGAGATGAGATGGAGAGGGGCAGTGGTTGGAATTTATAGAAAAGGCCGGGGCAAAGAACAAACACCATTCTTTGTTATTTGAATGATTTCCATCTAATATCTACAATTCTAATCTACAGCTCAACCTGTACAGCAACCATACTCTCCGACATAAACCCAGTAGCAAAGAGCCACGCAAGCTTCTTACCACCAACCTTAGGCTCAATGGGCACCAAAACAGCCGCACTCGCAGTCCGAAGCCTGGACCCATCATCCTCAAACAGCACCTTCTTCTCCCAGACCCCAGTACGCGAATCGAGAGTCGTATACCACACCTGGACAGCATCCTTAGCATTCGGATCATGAGCATTAGCCAACAAGTGAATAGCCTGCGAAACACCGGCTACCAGGTATCCGCTCGCATCATGGGAGTCGGTGCGGTATGGATCATCGTAGTAGGACGGGTTATCCGCGAGAGAACTGGCAAAGGAAATCGAGGTATCGATCGTGATAGAGTGATTTGACTCGTGCCGGGTTGCGAGGAAGATCTCGCCGCCCATAGCGCTGGAAATGACGACTTCGTTGTCGGTGCGGCCATGTCCGAGACCATTGTTGTTCCATAGACCTGTCAGCGCGACGGAGGCTTCGATGGGGGAGTCTTTGCTTGCTAGGTCGGCGATCTGCACGTGGATGATGTCGGACCACTTGGCTGGGGACCAGACGTCTTCGAGCAGCCGCATGGGACCATCGCGGTAGAAGTGGTCGTTGGTGACGTAGAAGGAGACCGGGCTGACCGCGTAGATGTCGTTAGGGGTTTTGATGAGCGGGTGGTTGATTGAGCGCACATGTCGGACGGAATCGGAGTTTAGGACGTGATGGAAGAGCTCGATTTGAGACTGGGCTTTGGGGACGTCTTTGGGCTCGCCGGCTTCAAAGTGTGCGGGGTTGGGCAAATGGTTGACGGCATAGATGTAGACTGCGTCTGACTGCTCGGGATCCTCAATGACATCAATTCCATGTGTCACGAAGGGGCCTTGGAAGTTCTCGAATGCCAGACGAGTTGATTTCATAGTCTATGTTTGGGATTAGTTTTTTGAGATTTTTTTGGGTTTTCGCTTTCGATGTTTTTGCCCCAGAACAAACTCACCTTGGGATCCACGACATGGATAGATCCTTGGGCCGTGAGTGGCAGCAAGCTACCTAGCGGCGGGAACCAGCTAAACCGCGTGCTCTTGTTGTCCTCGCAGGCAGTGAACAGCAGGTTTGCCGGGCGGTAGTGGTGCACATCCTCGCAGTGGATGGTGTCTTCGATGTGGATTGGGCCTTGGCCTTGACCTAGCACTGTCGAATTGGGAGTAAGAAAGAATCCTGTAATATGCACGAAATGGGTTATTGGGCCAGCCAGAAAGGCGACCAGAGCAACGAGGCCGAGGCTGATTACGGTGCCGAATCCCATTCTATTCAGTGTCAATTGCGAATGAATATATGAAGCAAAGTATGGATTGAAAGGGTGAAAAGGTCCATATTTAAGGGCATATCCATTCCAGCCCCTCACTAAATTGGACCTCGGGAAGTATTCTCGGGAATCTCTGAGAGATCAGCAACTTTTGTTGCTATTTCTGATCCTGAACCCCTGGAATGTAACATATTCCAGATTGTATAATATTTGACTCGGGAGGTACAGCCTTTGAAGGTTGGAAGATTTCCATGGTTAAAATTATGCTTATATGACCCCTAAATGGGATTAGCGCGAAGATGCTATCGAGTGAGGAATGAACAAGCCCTGGAGAAGAACATGTTCTGTCCAAATCACTACAGTAAACAACCACAAAACAGCAAAAGTGCATTAAACTATCCTAGGCAAAAATGATGCAACTCTTTTTTTTCTTTGTCTGTTTTCGTAGGCCAAAAAATCACTCTGATTAAGTCTAGTCATGCTTGGAGTGACTAGACCTCTGCGGCAAAGTCCGAAAGAAAAGAGAAAAATAAATAAAAAGAGTGCACTTGTGCAAATTCCCAATCCCATATCGTGTCGTGATGATTTTCCTCCAAACATTTTTCAGTTTGCGGACTGCTTGGCTTCAAGATATTCCTGATCACTGGCGTCAAGAACGTCATATTCTTCGTCAGTCAGGAAGCCAGTGTCGGCGTCAGTAGAGGCATCGTCCAGAGTCAGGCTCTCGACGTCTTCTAGAACATCCACTTCCGAAGAATTCGACAAGGTCGGTGCCTGGGGCGCAGGAGCCTCGGCTTCGTGGGTGCTTGACTCCGGAGATTCCTTCTCCAGCTTGGGGAAGATCATGCCACTGCCGGCAATTTCAGACACGGCAGGGTATGTCTCGGTGGTGTCAGCTTCTTCCACAGAAGCGGTCTGCACCTCAACATCGCACCACAGACGATGGCCAATGGCCACACCGTTAGGGAGTTTCAGACGCCAGTAGGAGATAGCAGGGCCATCGTGCTGAGGGGAGCGAAGATTGACAGTAAAGTCGGCACTCTCACCAGGCTCCACAGGGGCAAACAATTTGTTGCTTTCCATGGCCGAGCGAATAGACTCGACGCTAGATGGGTGGCAGACATCGACGTTGAACATCTTGTCTCCACCGACAAAGCGCACATCACAGCCAACGGGCCATGCTGCAGGACCAGGGTTGTAGAGAGTCCAGGTCTGGCGGAACATGGTGTTGGGGGCCATCTTTGTACCGTCGGTAATAGTATCACGGATAAAGAATGCCTTGTAGTCCGACATAACAGAGCTATCGGTCTCGGAGATGGTCTTGCTCATGAATGGCTGAGGCTCGACCTTTTCCACAGGCTTGCTAGCATCCACCTCGACGGGTTTCTGCTCCTCAATCTCGGCCTGGTCAATGGGCCGAGCGGGGGCATGAAGCTGGTCACCCAGGGCAACTGGTCCACTCGAGCCGTCGTCGCCCAAGGTATTCACAGTCACATTGCGGACCGGAGTGTTGAACTTGACCAGCGGATGAGTGCGGTTGTGGTGGTCGGTCGGGAGGGCCTCGCAGCTCGCACAGAAGTCGGTGTCATCACAGACAGCGCACTTGTAGCGAGCTCCGTTGATGTAACTTTGGGCAGGTTTGTTCTTGCACAGTGGACCATCACAGAAGATGCCATAGTGGATTTCATGCTCACGAGCAGGTTCACCGATAGAATCGTAAACCTGCACGAATCGATGACCAGGGTGGTTCTCAGAAGCAGTCAAGATGCAATCGGGGCAGAAGTCCCAATCGGGGCAGGCCAGGCACTTGTGACGAACACCAACGATGCGCTAGCAAAGATTAGCCGAGTGCCTCCCAAGTGAGTTGGATGGGCGAGTAAATACCTTGTCACAGCCGTCACAGACAGCGGCATGTCGGAATTGCCGACCAGGAAGGCAGCGAGAGGTGATCAGATTCTTCAAGCAGAAGTTCCGGTCCGATCCAAGGTGGAAGGTGTGGCCGGGGTGGTGTCCATGCTTATTTCGGAGCAGGCAGCGAAGGCAAAGATCATAGTCCTCGCAGTCATTGCAGCGGACAAGATTGCTTTCGTCGGCTTCTGTGTGTTGTAAGCAAGAGAAGAGAGAAAGGAAAGTGAGAGAAAACTTACCACGACAGCATCCATTGCACATTGGCTTGTCATCGTCCTGAATGGCTGCATCCAAACAAGCCGATGGGGCCACTGGCTCTGGGATTGACTCTTGGACCGACTCTGGAACTGACTCTTGAACCGACTCAAGGACTGACTCAGTGACCGACTCAGGGATGTGGACCACCGGCTTGGTGATCACTTCGCGCTGAATCTGAGTAGGCAGCATGGGGTTGATCTCCAGTGCTGATTGATCACGAGGAGCAATAGTCTCGGTAGTACTGTTTGTGACGACACCGTCCTTGACGGTCCTTTTGATCAACCAGTGATCTTCGCCGCGGCAAGATGCGCCAGCACCGACACACTGTAGGCACAAGTCATAGTCCCCGTTCTCACAAATGCTGCAGTGATAATGCGCATTTGCAATAGACCGACCACAGTGATTGCAGTCAATGCAGAACATCCCGTTGCCCGAGGTGTGGGAGATGACCGGGAACTGATGCTTTTCTTGGTCCATCTCGAAGGTGCGGTAGCGAGGTTGACCAAGAGGCAACTCTTTCTCACCGGTGAGATGAGGAACTTGGACCGAGTCGATGAGAGGGAAGGTACTGGGAGGTGCTAGAGGGCTCAGGACCGTTTCGAGATAACTGTGACGAGTGTGGTTGGTTGACTCCAAAGGCACAGTGGGTTCTGATGGTACTGGTGTTGATGCGGATGTGTTTTGGGAAGTAAGAGTAGTAACCTTGATACGGAGCTTGGACTTGGCCTTCGCAGCCCGGTAGAGTTGTTTGTAGACTGCGATGTTGTCACAGTCTAAGCGAACGTAAGAACCAGCACTGTCGGAATAGCGTTCAAGGATGACGTTGACATCCGCCGGAACCCCGAGCAATCTGGTAAGCTAAACCAAAACCATCAAGTCAGTTTGCGGGAAAAAAAAAATAAAACCAATGCGTATTCTTTTGTTTAAGTTTGGAACAAAATATTTGTAAGATACAAAGCTTGATCTGATGATCGCTGAAGATAAGGAATGGAGTCGGACTACAGATCCGGAGCTTGAGTGGAGACTTACCATCTGGGGAAACACCTGGGGCTTCAGCTCCTTGAGAGGTATTTTGAAGCGACGGTTACTGTCATTATAGAGTACTTTGACAGTAACCAGATGCTCTGGACCCGAATGAGAAGTAGTAGATGGGGTTGTCATCGTAGATGATGTGAAAGTCAAAGGGTGGATATACACCTTTGAGATAAGGCAGCAGCCCTGGGGTACTAGGGGTGATGGATGGGAAAGGACAAAAAGAGAACTGAGTTACGAGTAGGATATAAATGCTGGAAGATAATATGATGATGATTATGATGAAGAGGGAAAAGAAAAAGAAGCAGAGGAGAGTCAAGGAAAATAAGAGGGGAGTTGTACAAGAAGCCGTCGAATTGAAGGGAAAAAGCGGAGAGAACGGTCAGCTGCTGCGAACTGAGAAGGAAGGCGGTGAGTGATTTCCCTTTCATGCATTACATAAGAATATGACGTGTTCCGGGGGAATGCCAAGAACTACCAAGAGCTACGTCGACTGTCTGGAGTGTCTGACCATGGACTTAATGGACTTAACGAATTAGTTACAGTATTGCTTTTTTTTAATTCGTCTTCATAAGTACACCCTCGAGAGGGAGTACACAAGATCATCAAATAGAAAACAGCGAAATATGATGTCATGCATGAATGCAGAGACGGGGATTCGATCGCCCGATTGGAGGAGAGTTGAGGGGATTGAGGGGGTTTGGAAGTGCTGACAAGGGCTGAGGGCTAGAATCAATACCTGATTCACCCCGGAGCCCAACCTCGGAAGGACAATGTGGGGAAAGTTGCGGAGGGAAAAACGCTCAAATGCATCAAAATCCAGAAGGGCCAAAATGAATCAAGAACTAGGACAAAAATTAGGAAAAAAAGAGGCAAAACTTGGCTAGAGAATGTGTGGATGCAGATTGAAAAAGAAGAAAAAAGAAAAAGCAAAATGAACCAAAGACCCCTGTAGATCCCAGAGAGAGCCGATAGAAAATTAAGAGAGAATTGAGACAGAATTGAGAACAAAGAGAGAATTGATGGAAATTGAAGATGTTTGTGAAATCCAAAAAAAAGAGAAGAGGAGCAAAAAATTAAAACCAACCTATGTCATTCATCACTGCCCATAATATTGACCGGATTGTTGAGCGTAGTAGAAGGTCGTGCCTGGCGGCGTCATCATCCCACCCATGCCAACCACACCCCCAGGCCCAGATCCTGGTCCTGGTCCTGGTCCTGGTGCGGGACCTCCGTACATATGATTGGCATCGTAAAAGTAGACGGTGCCACCAGACTCATGAGCAACAGTACCCGGTGGAGGGGGCTGCTCCCCAGCTAAATAGGGCATCGCTTGCTGGCCCGGGAAGTTTGGCACAGAGGGCCCGGGCCCAACGGGTCCATTGTAACCCGCGTAATCGGGTCCCGAAGGCGGGTAATACATGCCGCCTGAAGGATGGCTCGGAGGGTAGAAGCCAGGCTGATGGTAATTGTAAGGTTGGAAGGGCGGTGCGTGAATCGCCCGCTCCGGAATCTGGGAAAGCGGAGTGGCCGAAGGCTGGCTGGGTGGGCCATGGGTTGGAACAGGGACCTGATGGTGGAAGGGCTGCTCATGCTGGGGCTGAGGCGGGTTGAAAGCGAACGGGAAAGTCGCCGGACTTTCAATGTCCGCAACAGAGACCGTCTTCTGAGGACGAGGTTGGTGCATGGGGATCGGGGCGGGGCGGCTTTCGCGATAGGCCGGGTGAGGAAGGGACATGGACATCACAGGCCCATATGGTGGGATCCCTACAGGAGGACGAGGAGGAGGGGGGAAGGCGGACAACGGGCTTAGGGTCGGTGGGGATTATGGGTCTGGAGTACACAGACCCAGCAGGTGATGGCCACCCATCCTGAGAGGGTGGCATGCCAAACGAAGATCGACGGCTGACAACGCTCGGCGTGTAAGAGGAGTTAGGGTAGTAGCTGGGACGTCGTCCACTATACCAGCCGCCACCACGACCACCTCGACCACGAGAGACTTGGTTCGGCCGCAACGCGCGGGGGATGAAGATAAAGGAACGTTCAACCGAGGGGAATATGTATCGGGGCGGCTGGTTGGGAAGAGAGATTCGTACCGGCTTGTCGCGTCGCAAGGGGGGTCGATGTTGAGGTAGCCGGGTGTGGAGTCTCTTGGGCACAGAAGAGAAATGAATTGGGTTGGCCATACCGGGCAAGGAAACAACGACAGGTACGTTCCCAATCAACGTCGTGCTAGAGAAGGACCGGTTGGGTGGGGAAGATCTCGGAGCGGTGGGGACGGATGCACCAGGATTAGGCATCGCGGATGGTGTTGGGCGCTTTGCTGCAGGTCGATCCTCGCCAGCCACGGTATCGTGGAGATCGTGTGCCCACTGCCCTCCGCTGGCATCGGGCTTGGAAGACCTGAATCGTGTTAGGAAACAGGAGTCGGGATGGAATGGAACATAACATACCTGCGAGAGCTGCCGTCTACGATCAGGCCGTAGGGACGAGACTTGCTCTTGAGTCGGTGACCGTTGTCTGTGGATCGTTTGTCATGGAGGAAAAAGCTGCCGCGAGTAGGGACGAAGGCTGGGTTCTGCTCTCGTTCCTTGACATACTTGTCATTCTCGCGGCGCTTTCTGGAAGCCAAATTGTTTCGACTTGGTTCGGTTGGAGGGGCGGAAGGCGTTCTTCCAGCGTGAGGCTCCAGTTGTTCCTTCAGATCGTCGAAATGAACCTCCGCAGCGTCGCCCGCACCGTCTGAGACCTTCAGGCCGTTGAACATTGCCTCTGTATCTGAGACTGTTGTCTTGAGTCCTCGTTTTTCGGGCGATGCAGAGCTGTTCCGTGCAGAGCTGTTCCGTGTAGATTTTTCCACCCCACGACCATTGACCTTGCCCACCTTATCCAACGTAGAAACCTCGTCCTCGCTCTCTTCACTGACTTCTCCGTCTGCATCTTCGTCCTCTTGGTGGCTGTCGGCTGAGCCTTCACTCAACGAATCATCTCCCATGTCCCCAGCCATTGAACCCTCTTCTTCACCATCTTCCTCCCTTCTCTTTCTGCGGCTGGCCCCGATATGACGTCGAAGATGAGCCATGTTGGAGACACAAGGGATTAATTACTTGGGGGTGGCTTGAATGTTCCCTGTTGACACACGCTTGACTGAGTGGTTATCGGGACCGATTTGGCTTAGAGAACGGAGTATGGTGAGGACAGTGGGCGTAGAAGGACGATAAACCGGTGGAACAGCAAATGAAATCAAGAAAGATCAAAATACTAAGATAGGCTAGAAGAAACAAAAAGACACCTTGTGCAAGAAGAATAACCAAAGTGAAGAGAAAGAAGAGAAAGAGCAAGGGGGGGAGAAGAAAGGATATGCAGCCCAAGAGAGATGAGAAGTTCAGAGAGACTCGAGTGCAGAGGAAGGGCATGACATCGCGAGAGACGTCAGGCCTGATCGGGCCTAGTCCAGGCGGTGAGGCAGTTTCTGCCAGGATTGGGCCTAGAATTGTTTTTCCAAAGTTACTTGATTTGGTTAGTGTCTGGCGAACTAAATATTGACAACTACAGAAGGCTTGAATATAAAAATATTGAGGTATGGAAATTTTTGCTTGATTTTTGGTAAATTCGAGGTTGTGCCCTAGTATGCAGGCCGGATGTTGTGATATCCGGAAGTATACATGCATTTTCTTGCGCATTCCACTGAAAGCTGTGCCACCGAGTAGTGGACTCGATGATCATGGATATCTGAGAGATCGTACAAATATTGAAAATTATGACCCAAAGGTCCCGCTTGAGTCACAGGGTAGACCGCGGTCGGAGTGTGATCCCAATTCCACCTCGATTGCAGGCAGATCATTGACAGGTATCAGAATTTCGCTGATACATTTGTGTATGAGATGATTGAATGGTCCTGTAGAAAGACCGCAGATGATAATCCACGAACAGCAGATGAAAAACTTAGTCAAACGTGGTCTTCTGACCTTGGCCCTCGACAATGGCACCACTGAGCTTCTGGACGGTTTCCTTGGAGTAGCGAGACTCATCGATGGATTCACGTCTCTTCTTGTGTCGGGGTCTTTCTCGTGATTCGCCATCGACTTCGGTGATAGCGGGTTCATCCTTCTTCTCGGCATCCTTTCCGAAGCGCTTCTTGTATCGTGTAGACGCATCTTCGGCAAACTCCATTCGCATACGGCGACCCATGAGCTGGTTCACCCAAACCCTTTGCATACGGGGCTTTAGCTTCTTCGACTTCTTCTTCTTCTCAGAGGCCGAGTCGGAATCACTATCAGAGGAATCCTCTTCCTCATCATCCTCCTTGATCAACATGAATCCTCTCACCGCTGCTTCTGCGGCAGCGAGTTCTTCAAATTCCACCCACGCATAACCCTTGCATTTTCCTGTGTCTTGGAAAGTCGCCATATGCACGTTGGTAACAGTCCCGCATTTGCCGAAGTTTTCCTCGAGGTTTTCCTTGGTCACATCGAAGCTCAGGTTGCCGACGAAGATTCGCTTGGAGGGGGGTGGCCAGATTTGGCTGCACCCGCAGCATTCTCTTGGGTTTCGGATTTCTCAGGGCGACCTTCATAGTTGTTTGCATCTTTGATGAGCACGCGGCGGCCGGTCATGAGTTGCTCGCTTAGGCCAATTGCTTCTTGCAAAGACTTCTTGTCGGTAAAGTCGACGTAAGCAAAACCTCTGTTCTGCGACCTCCCAAATCTTTCGGGGCCTTTGGGGAGATGAATTCGAGTGATATCCGACTCGGAGATGTCAGAGTTGACGGTGAAGAACATGCGCAGCTCATCTCTGGTCACTGCGAACGATAGGTTTCCAATCCAGATACCATATTGGGACCGCTTCCCCTCTGTTTCAGCTTCTTTGGGTTCGGGTTTGCTGGACTTGCTGGACTTGGGTTTTTCATCATCCCCCGCATCGCCTCCTTTGTTCTTTTTCGCTTTGCGAAGGGCCTTTTTTGAGACTGGCTCGGGTGCAGAGACATCGATTTCGAGCTCAGGACCGTCCTGCAGCTTGCGCTTCTTTTGACTGACTTCGGTGAGTTCCGACATGGTGTGAAATATGTAAATGGTGTGACGAGCACTATAATAATAGTCAATCTATCAGAAGTCTGAGATTGTTTCTGGTTCGCAGGAAATCAGACTAGCAATAATTTAATTTTTTTTACGGCGGCCAGGACCCGCCTCCCACGCAGCCGGATCGGCTTCTTGGCGCGAACGCGCAGGGTGACCACATCCCCTTCATCTCTTCTGAACTTCTTTCTGCCATAACACCATGGCAGAACCAAACGACAACCGTTTTACTGAAAATTTGCCAAATGCACCAACTACTGCACCGGCTCCTGCAAAGCAATCAGTCCGGTCTTTCAAGTACGAGCCCTCACAATCAGCCCATCGGATAATGCTGACTTCTCTTCTCTTTTCTCTCCAGGAAGAAATATGCCAAACTGAAAGTCAGGTTCGAGCTAGGAGCTCGAGAGAATGAGAGTTTGATCCGGGAAGAATTGCGCATAGATGACCTATCCAAGCGCATTCAGGAGCAAAACGAGTATGGGACTCACAAATCCCCCCCTGTATGAATGATTCCTAATTCCTCGGTTCTAGTCAATTGCTGGAGGTTCTCCTCGAGTTCAACGAAAGCCTACATGTTTCCCCCGATGTGCGATTCGATCTGAGCATGCCAACCGACCCTCCCTTGCTGCCAACACCAGAGCAGGAAATTGTACCTTTGATCAACGATGCAACACTAGCAAAACAAGCATGGAAGGAAGCTAAAGCTGGCTTGGCTGCTGGTAGCATTGACGCAGGTGCTTATCGTATGATTGAAGATAACATCAAACGAAACAAGGCGTTTGCACCAGCCCAGCAGTATAGTTCCCTATCACAGACCCATCATATCACTCCGGACACTGTTGAAAAGAAGCCCGATAATGATACTGAACGCAAACTTGGATACTTTACGCCCGAGCACGAGACTGAGTACTACCTTGCCTTGGACGCCAAGCTAGGTGATGAGGCAGCTGCTACGCAGCTCGCACGCATTCCAGATCGTCCCACCTTTGCGGAGCGTGAGCGTGATCTTACCATGCGGAATCCCGCATCGGTATACAATTGGCTGCGTCGCAACCAGCCCCAGACTCTCCAGGATAATGAGATTGCTTCTGAAAAGTCTGCATCACGCCCTTCCAATCAGCGATCTTCCAAGCGAGCGCCAGCTCAGCGCAAAGATGAGGATATGTATGATGAGGATGGGACAGAGGCCCAGCCTACTCCCAAGAACAAGCGCAAGCGTGAAGAGGACACTGGTTATAGACCCAAGGGTGGCAGCAGCCGGTCAAAAAAGAAGAAGGAAGAGCCCACTTCCAACCCAAGCAAAGTGGTCAAAAAGCCTTGAGCAGTTGGATTTATAAAGGGAATTCATTTTGTGTATTAATACTGGCGTTGGATTGATTCACTGGCTTCCAATGAGATGACGGATCATTAGCATTGTTAATTCAAAATATAGTCACATGAATATGTAGTCTCCATGAGATATCTAGGTAATTCCAATCTAATGTACTTTCTCTTCCTTTACAGTCCAAGTCCATGGCTATAGTGGAGATATCACGTGACCTGGATTTTCTTCTCCCATCTGGACCTCCACTCCCATTTTGAAGTCAACCGCAATCGATCGCAGACAACACCCTCTGCAATGGCAATTACTATTCTTCCCCCGGTAGTAGAGGACTCTCGTCCCTACGAAGCCGACTCAGATGACGACATTTCCATGGACTCCGAGGAGGACGTCGAAATGACTGGTATCTCTCGGCCTCACAAGCGACCCCGTTTACAAGGAAACTCGAATATTGGCACAGGAATTGTCACACCAGGAGAAGTGGTCACAGATGATCCGCAATGGATGAGGTTGGTGCAACCTTGAAGACCGCGCAAAAAAATCGCGGGGCTCATATCGTCATTTTTCTTTTTTTTTCAAACACTAACAATCTACAGAGGTCACGGCACCTATATGAACCCGCTCTCGACATCTATCATTGCCACCGTTGCCGGCACAGTTCAAAAGACAAATAAGCTACTCTCTGTCCACCCTCTACGCGCCCGCTATACCCCCGAGATTGGAGATCTCGTCGTTGGCCGCATTGTCGAAGTGCAATCACGACGGTGGAAGGTTGACGTCGCCGCGCCGCTACTAGCCCAGCTCCCTCTTTCCGCAATCAACCTGCCCGGCGGTATTCTGCGTCGGCGAACAAGCGCCGACGAGCTCCAAATCCGGACATTTTTCAGCGAAGGCGATCTTGTAGTTGCCGAAGTGCAGAGCGTGCACCAGGATGGGTCGGCGTCACTACACACACGTTCCTTGAAGTACGGGAAGCTGCGCAATGGCGTGTTCCTTGCCGTTACAGGAACCGGAGGCAGCGCAGCGACTAGCTCTAGCGTTAAAGGCGGAGTTGGGGCTGGTAATTCGGCTTCAGGCAGCGCTTTGGCTGCTCCTGGAGGTTCTGGTACTGGCGGTGTGGTACGGTCTCGCCGACAGGTGTGGACGGTTACCGCTGCCAATGGTGGTGGTGAGGTGAATATTATCCTTGGAGTGAATGGGTACATCTTTATCTCCAAGCATTCCGATGGGGCAGATGCCACATCCTCGACTACGGAGAATGTCTCCATTACGCGCATGGAAGAGATGGTGTCGAGTACAATCTACTCTAGCCAGAACGACGATATCCCACCACAGACCCGTCGGGAGATTGCACGATTGGCACAGTGTATTCGAGTTTTGGTACAGAACGGAGTGCGTGTGGATGAAGAGACAGTTATGGGTGCCTACCATGCTAGTCTGCAGGTGGATTTGGAGATCGGGGACGATGAAGACGAGGAAGATGAATGGCGACAGGAAGGTCGCGAGTATCTAGAGGGCGCCAAGGCCCAACAAATCCTCGAGTTGGTGAAGCAACAGCTGTAACAGGCTACTCTAACTGCTCGGATGTATGATAATGATACCCCTCAAACAAGGATAAAAGGGAACACTTAACACTTAGCAGACGTAATGTCAAAGTCCATGTCCAAACCACCGTCTGATATTTACTATATAAACCTGTCTACTCCATATGTAGATCCAAGGATTCGGTCCACAGGTCTTGTAGTATACTGATGTGTCATGGCTTCACAACCTTGGAAGTGGAAACCTCTGCCGTAAGTGGACCAATATAAGCCAATGATCAGGGGCCCCGGGGGATCAGATCTGCCCAACCAGGTAGCTGTATTTTGTAAGAAACGTATGACCTTACATCGGCAGACTCATACGTTGGTGAACAATGACGATGAATAGTGTTCTCGAAGAGGAATAGCTGGAACATTGTAGTCCAGTCAATAGAACAGAACAATAGCCAGAATAATAATCCGAGGGGTAATCTGCATAATAGCTAGAACAATAGCTAGAATAATAACCAGAACAATAGCATCAATAGCATCAATAGCATCAATAGATATCTGATTGGTGGAATGTCTGAACAAATTGTAAAAGAAGGCATCTGATAGGCTTACATACGCAGAGTCACGAGTCAATGGTTTAAGATTCTATTGTTCTCTTTTTGTTCTTCTTCGCTCTTCTTTTCTCTTTCTTCTCACTATACTCGAATCTTTTGAGAACATGCCCAATTACTTACTTATTTCTCTTTTAATTCTCGACTATTGTTCAGTACCCATAGGTTAAAAACACCTTTTCTTGGCTTGACCCTTTCTACTTACTACTGGGTTTCCCAATCTACTCCATCTTTTTTTTCCCAAAGACTTTCTTTCCTATCATCTCATAGTCAAAAATGCCCGATCTACGTCGCCAGATCTTCGAGAGCGGCAAGACTGTCTCGCGCAAGGCAGCATCCCGTGAAGCATCCCGCACCAACTCCCCCGCCGGTTCGAAGCAGACCTCCCGCAATGCCAGCAGAGCTCCTTCGGACGAAGAAGACTCGGGATTCCTCTCTGATGAGACATCTATGAGGTAATTCCTTGCATTTTTCGTCTTTTCGTGCTTTCATCCTTTTTTTTTCTTTTTCTTTTTTTCTTTTTCTTTTTTCTTTTTCTTTTTTTTTGTATCTTCACATGGTCCCCACTCCCGTGGCGGGATGATGTCACCAATGATGTCGGCAAGTTTTACGATCAAGGCACTAACCAAATTGGGATAGTATCGGATCTCTCGACGATGAGAACCCCGAACAAGATAATCCCGATTGGGAACAAGAACTCGGCGAGCGTATTCAAGAAATTCTCGATCGCAAGCGCAGCAGTGTCCAAGGCCGCGAGGAGGCCCTGCAAGCATTCTGCCGCCTGACCAAATATCACTACACAGTGGAAGAAATTCACGGCGCCATTCCAGACCTACTGGCGGCATTTGAGCGAAGCGTGCGCACCGAGATCAGTGTGCGCGAAGCAACCCTTGGCTTGCGCGCCATCGAATTGCTCGTCATTTCAGCTTTCGACAACACCGTCTACGAAAACACCGAGCCCTTGCTCACCCGCACCATCCGTGACTCTGCCTCCCCTCTTATCAAGACGGCCGCTATTCACTGCCTCGGGGCATGTACTATCTTCGGAGGTGCCGGTGAAGATGGCATCCTTGAGCAGATGGGTTTCCTCTTGGATATCATCGCCTCTGACGGCCAATCCATCGATGCCACAGACGACCCCACCATTGTGACCGCCGCGCTCCAGCAATGGGGATTCCTCGCCACCGAAGTCGATGATTTTGAGGAAGAAAGCGAAGAAGCAGTCCAGATCTTCATGGATCAGCTCGACAGCTCTGATTCCAACGTGCAGATCGCAGCAGGCGAGAACATCGCCCTACTCTATGAGAAGAGCTACAGTCCCCAAGAGGATGATGACGAAGAAGAGGAGAGCGCAGATTCAAACGACGGCAGCGACGAGCATGAGCATGACAACGATCCCACATCTGGTCCCAAGCTCGTGAAACGATACAACGCCTACCACAACACTCCCGAGCTAGAGAGCCAACTTAAGAACCTGGCCACCATTCACGGCAAGCAGATCAGCAAGCGCGACAAGAAGTCACTCCACAGCAACTTTGCCTCGATCCTCACCACTGTCGAGAACCCACGCCGCGGTCCTCGCTACAACACCGCCATCGACCAGAACACCAACCGCCACTATGGCAGCACTCTCACCGTCAAGATCGGCCGCCACGGAGTCATGACTATCGACCGTTGGTGGAAGTGGGTGCGACTCACTGCTTTGCGCCGCATCCTGCAGGGCGGCTTTTCCGAACACTATTTCCAGGGCAACCGCTCCGTTCTCAACAGTCTTCCGGTCATGATGCGCATGGCAAACCAGGGTCACGGCTCGGTGGATCGCCAAGGTGCACGCAAGGCAGCCAAGATGCGCAACTCGCGTCGCTGGACTACTCACCAATCCGACGATGAGGAAGAGTAAATAAGTACCTCGCATGCTCACATCGGTGATGGTTTAGGAATGGAATGATGGATAAAGGGAGGAATCAGATGCTCTTCGGTCTTTCAATTATCGACATGGGATATGACAGCTTAGGGTTTTGTGTCACATGGAGGATTTCAGTTTCGCATAAGCCTCGGTTTATGGCCTTTGTTTTCAGATTCTTTTCCTTGATGTTTCTGCTTTTATGTTTTTTTTTTGTCTCTATCCACTTGACTTGTTTTTCATGATTCAATAGTTACTCGGAACTTCGTACCTAACGAAATGACACTCACTGCGCATTGAGCATTCTTATGATATCCAACAAACCGTTCAGGAGAACAATAGATCCAAGGAAGAAAGAGTTCATATTTATCTTTATATGAGTGAAGAAGGTCCTGCCCAAAACAACTCGCCCACAGGGCGAAGCCCCATCTCTCCTTTATAGTCTTGCTCTTGCATGTCTAATAAAATATAACCAACGAAACAACCCAAAAAAAGGCTAACCAACATCCATAACCATCCAGTCTAACCCTCTAATCCTCAAACACAGGCACAACATCAGACCAGCTCCCCCTAGCCCTCTCCTCCCAATACCCATCCTTCCCACCCTTAAGCCGCCAAGCAACCTCCCCATCAGAGTCATCACTAATCCGCGTAAACCAGCGCGGAATCCAACTCTCCCCAGCATTTTCCATCTCGCGTCTGCGCGCACGTTGTCCCTCCTCAAGCTGCACCTTAATCTCCTCCGCGTGGTCGAGGTCACCGTTTTCCAGCGCGCGCTGGTCAGGACGCAGACGGGAGTCCGTGACAGGTAAATGCTTATCCTCAATCGAGGTGATTTCATTCAGCGCGGCCGCAAAGGACGTGAGACCGTAGTGTTTTGGCGCGGAGGGGACGAGCGAGCCGGCAGTCCAGATAGTGTTACCGGTGGGGTTACCGTCGCGGGTGAGAGTCAGCGAGGAGGGCCAGGTGCCGGATAAGCCGAGGGGTACGGGGTTGTTGTTTGCGTCGACGGCGCGGGTGGATACTTCCTCGCTGCGGCCCGAGAACATGCCGCCAGCTTTGAAGGTTGAGATGGAACGGTGGCCAGTGGACTCGTTTGTGACGGCTAGCTCGCCGACAGGCTCGACGTATTTCTCGCCTGCGATGATGTTGCGTAGGAAGGATGTTGCAGGCGTCCAGCTGTAGCGGTCGCCGGTGCTATGCAGGGTAATGCGGACGCGGCCTTCGGTTGTGATCTCGGCGGATTTGCCCCAGAATTTCTGGCTGGGCATCGGGGACTGCGAGAGGCTCCATTCTTTGCTGTCGGCTTGGTAGGCTAGCTGCACGGGCCGGTGTGAGACTTTCTCTGCGATGAAGCGGAAGCCTCGGTCTTCGCGAACGAGCTCGTAGGTCTCGCCTAGCATTGGGTTGAATGGCTTGCGGATGGAGCGCTCGCGGACGCGGTTGCTCGAGAGGGAGGATACTGCGAAGGCGGTTACGTACATCAAGCGCTCGACAGGGTCTGTGGATTTGGTGGCTTGGTCAAGCAGATTTGAGTACTCCAGGACCTCAGCGGCGCGTTGCAGGAGAGACATGGGCTCGTTTGCGGACACGGGCATCGAGATTGTGGACAAGTCCTTTCCGACGTTCTTGCGCAGGAACCCAATCAAGCTTGGGGGCAGAACTGTCGGGGCGAGGATGTTTGCGCGGCGTTTTATGGGGTCTAGGGGCAGCGGGATCAATGATTTGGGCTTGACCGGGAACAAACCCGATGCGCTGCCGCTTTCCTGGCGAGTTGCTGCCGCATCGGATTCACCGTCGCTGTCAGAGGGTGCGTCGTCCTCGACTTCCTCGGCAGCAGAGGCAGGCCGGTCCTCTTCGGGCCCTTCGTCGTCGCTGTCATGGATGGTCAGGAGGGGAGACCTGTCACCACCTCCATCTGTCGCATCAAAGAATTCTTGCGACATGTCAGACTCCATGCTCCGCCGGGGAACCATAGATGGCTGAGGCGGGTGCCGTCGCTTCTTGCTCTCGGTAATCAGCGTGGAGAACTCAGAGACCACATTGTCAAGGTCGCGCAGTACCGCCATCAAATGGTCATGGATCTCATCCACGCAGTCCATGTGACTGGTGACACTGGCAGGCTTCCCCTTGCCGTCAGTAGCAGGTACCACAAGCTGCGAGGAACTGGAGTTCGTGGTCGTGGCCGGTGGTCGCTTGCCGGTGGCATTCGACTGTCCACTTGTCTTGCGCTTCCAGAACGGCCGCTTGGCCTCCGTCTCACTGGGAGCAGTCTCATGAGTACTGCGCTGGGGACTAGGGGACCGGCCACGCGAACGAGGCCGGTTGACAGGAGTTGGGAGAGGCGAGGCAAGATACTTGGGGTCGGTATCCTTGGCAAGCCGGCGTATCGCATCCCGCGATCCGGAAAGATGGCTGATAAGGCTCTCAGCACGAGTCCATTCACTCTCCTCCGCCGGGGAGGGCTGCGATGGAGCGTAAAGCCGCAGCTCCGGAGGGGCACCTAGACCGGCATTGTGTGCGCCCTTAGAAGCTTCCTTAGAGGAAGCTCTCTCGAGGGCACCCTTCCATGCAGCAAATTCGTGCTCGTTACTGGCGCGCAGATGCCAGATCTCGGTGCCGGAATCAATAGAGATCTCACGGGACTTTTCGTTGGTCGCAACGGCCGCTAGCGAGAGCGGGATCGCGCCTCGCAGCGCGGACGAGTTGCGGTCATGATAGTATGACAGCGTGCAAGAGGTAAAGTCCAGAGAAAAGAACCGGCGTGCCCAGCCCTGGTGACGCTTTCGTCGCCGCTTCTGCAGCAATCCTGTGTGAACACTTGAGTTCGACACGTCGACGTGCTGCGAGTTGAGCGTGGCTCGGCTGTTGCCTCGTCGGCGGGTCTTGGGCTGCGGCAGCGATTCTGTCGATGCCCCTGGCTGAGATCGTGTAGCAATCGATGCGGAGCTATGTGGTTGAAGGCCGGTCGGATAGGTGAGGAGGACAAGTGTCAAGGTCTTGGAGATTTGTTTGGAGAATGTGTTATCGAAAACGAGGGCATAGTTGCCTCCTTCGCTGAACGGCACATCGTAGGTCCCCTGGGTAATCTTGTCTGCTTCACACTTGCCCGTCCATTTGATTGTTTTGAGCCCAATTCCCGTTAGCTTCTCGATGACGGCAGATTGTTGTTGCCGCGCGCCGGCAGTCGTCGCCGTTGCGGGGAGATTCTCAGTGGAATCGGTGCTCTGGGAATCGGAGGCAGGAAGATGGGAGCTCAGAGCAGAGGATTGGCCTGGGTGTTTGAAGATGCCAAAGTTGACGGACTTCTTGTGTGGTTGAATACTCCAAGAGATGGTGTGGTTGGCGCTGACATTGATCCAACGTACAAAGTACGACTAGAGAGATTAGTTGAGACCAAGACTTTTGCTCATAACAAACCCTACCTTGCTGTGAATCTCCAGCTCTTCCATGGCCGCCATAATTGCGCAGTGAGGGGTTGCAGGAACCACAATGTGTCCGTCACGGTCCGGTGCGGCTGAACGTGGCGATGCGGGGGGGGGGGGATAAGCCACACTATACAACTGATGTCACAGGAACATTCGGGAATGGAGCTTTTAATTAAACAAGGAAATACGAGGGATACTAAGAAATACAAGGAAATCAGAGAGGGGGCAAAAGAGAAAAACAAGTTGAAACCGAGGCTGATGAGTTCACATGGTAGATCTCTGTCTCAGCTCTTTCACCTAGGCACCTGGGCAGTCTATACCTACGTAATACAGCCTATACACCTGGGCAGTCTCCAGGGCTCTACCTAGGTAACTCCCGAGGTCCACAAATCGCTTGAAATTCATTGATAATTTTACATGCCTGATGCCAAAGGTGTATCAAATTAAAAAAAAAAGTAGGAAATTCCATCCCATCTTTTCTGGGATTTTGGGGATTTTTGGAATAGATAGTACACTGTACAGACGAGAAACACTTATCTCCGGCCGCCCTTGCTCATGTTGCTGAACATCAGCTTAAAGCCGTTGCACAGAGCATGCATGTCCGGGTAAGGGTTCTTCTGCAGTTCGTAGCCCTGGGGAATAACCTTGACCGGCCAGTTCTGAAGTCGCGCATGTTCGCCTGCCTTGAAGCAAAGATAAAAGTAACCGGGGTATTTGGCGTTGATGCAGAATGCATATGCCGAGCGGCGGGGGTTGGCCTTGGTATAAGTCTCGAGCCATTGATCTATTGGATGTTAGTTGGATGCTAGTTGGATGGATAAATTGCCAATAACATACCTGTCTCGGTCTTACTGCCTTCTTGGAATTTCTCGTGGAACATCATCTCGCCCACCTTCTTGGCCATCGCTTTGACGTGATTGACGATCAGGTCATCCAGGTCGCTGTAAGTATAGCGACCACCGACCTTGAGGACACGGCCGACAGAGAACTCGTTTTCTTTGTCCAGCTCAAGAACATCAATATGCTGGTACACACCTTGCGCCACCTTCCAAGTGACAGCTAGGTGATCGTGGCCTCGGGAGGACGGGCGAATAACAACGTCCCCTGGGCTTTGAGAGCCTAGGAACTCCTCGGCCTGGGTGGAGTTGAACGGCCGGAAAAGCGGGTGCTTGATGACACGCATGGCTTGGCCGCCACGCTGCGTCTTCTCCTGCAGCGACTCCTTATCGGCTCGCTCCTGCTGGTCGTCCCAATCGCCAAAGCCATGATCCTGGTTCCGACGAGCTGGGTTACTGACCTGATCCTCACGTAGAGAGACGTTGCAAGAGAAACCCTTGCGGTTCAAGAACAGGATCTTGGCTGGGACAGTCTGGTGGACTTGGTATGCGTTGCGTACAGGGATGTCGTAGGGAACACCGAGTTCGGTCTCGGCCACAAGCACATCAACACCGCAGTCCAATTTGGCCTCGATGTGATCCTCAAATACCCGCTTGATGGCAATGGGCACCACCATACCAGGTACTAAAGAGTCGGGCGTCTCGCCAGTGAGCATTGTGAAAATATCGTCGGTGCCGAGGAAGACATAGTGCTTGCGCAGTTCCTCGTAGGGTTGTTGCAACTCGGCTCGGATTGTCTCAAGGGTGGCACGCTTGCGCTGGTTGAGGTTTTTCTCGAGCTGTTCTGCGTACTCTTCCAGAATAAGATCGTTGACACGGTCCTGTGCCTCTTCCCGGAACAGCTTCCGCATGATAGCACCAGTGCCGTTCTCGTCAGTCTCGGCCTTGATATCCTCCTCGTCCAACTCCAGTGCATCAGCGGCCATCTTGCGCGCAATATCGTAGTCTTCGGGATGTACACGGGTGTTGTCCAGCGGATCAGCATCGGGATCAGCATTCTCGAAGTCGATGTACACGAAACTAGCACAGTTGTTCCAAACCTTGACACCCATAGCAGGGTATGTCGCGTTGACACCAAGCAATTCCACCCGGTTGTTAACGACTCCGCCGTTCATATTGACAATTTTGAGCAAGTGAGCCGCCTTTCGGGGACCAAGACCGCAGACATACGGCAAAAGATTAGCTGTCGCCGTATCGGCTACTGCCTCGTTGAGATCAACGCCGACCAAGTTGACCATGTCCACCAGGGCGGTTTCCAGCTGCTTGAGAAGCAGGTCCTGGGAGACTAGTTGTTGGCCTGGTTTGAACTGGATGGAGACAACGTCACGGCCCAATGATGCATATTCCTTGAGCGGGCTCTGCAAGTACCGGCCCAGAGCCACACAGTAGTGGGTCAAAGGTCCAAAGCCTGGATTGTCGCTTCTGGCGCGAGGGCTGTTGTGGTACAGCCGGGCAACCTCATCATTGACAATGACCACCTCTAAGGGGTCACTGATCTCCTCGTCGTGCTCATTTGTGTAGGATGCACCACGTATATCTTTTTGGTCGACAATTTCGGATAGAAGCTTGTACAGGCGGCGCGTCTCTGGCGTCATGCCTGAAACACCGATGACATCTGGTCGGCGACGATCCATCAAATCCATAAAAGCGGCCAGGTTCTCACCGTCTGCAATGTCACGGCTCTCATCTCCCACCGAGAGATCAATGAATTTGCCATTTTCCAAGACACGGCCGTCTTCTTCTGTGTAAGCCCAGTGAATGGGGTCCCGGCCCACCTGGCCAGATCCGGTGGAGAGAGTGAGAACACGGGGCACTGTGCCCAGGACCATGCCCTTGGGTTTGTAAGGGGCCTGGTCGAGACGCTGCGAGAACGCTTCGCGGCACTCCTTGGCGACATGATTCTCACATTCCTGTCGAATATTTTCCTTAACACTGCGATTGATCAACTTTTCCAGTTTACCCAGGGCCAGATCCAGCACCTCACGGCGAACACGGTTCCAAGCATCAGCAAGCTCACTGTAGTTGTCTGACTCAATATCGGCGTAGAGACGTTTGCGGAACTGGTCAAAGTTTTCAAATCGCACCCGGACATCAACGAGACCTTCTTCCTCGGCCTTGAGCATACGCAAGAACATCTCTGGGCGACGGGCAATATCACTTAGCTGCTGGTTCCGCAGATATTTGAATTCGGCGTAGGGATGCTGCTCATCGATCCGGCGGAGACCTTTCTCTGTGCGGAAGCAATCGACGACTCCGTTCATGTAGTATGCCTGACGCATCACCTTGCGCATTTTAGGGCTGACAGCAAGCTCTTCGGCGAACATCGACTTGCCGGCTTTGAGAACATGCGAACTGTTGGAAAAGTCGTTGTCGACAAACTGATCTGCCAACTCTTCGGGCTGCTCGGTGGGGTCTTCGGTGTATTGCCGGCGACCTTCCTTGGAGGCATTCTGAGCAAATGCATCTGCAGTGATGCCAAAAGCACGCACGAAGCCGTAAGCCTTGCCGTTCCGAACCCGCTCAAAGAAAGATCTGCCAGTGGCTTTTCGGCGTTGGGTTTCTCCAGTAGCCTCGCCATTGACCTGGTTGAGATCACGTAGCTGTGAGGAGTACTGGAAATGGATATAGTCCTGCACATCTTGGAGTTCCTCCATGGTCGCGGCCGCAGCAAGTTGATCCTCGACGTTGGAATCATTCACGCTGAAGAGACTTTGTAGGTTGTCGTATGTCTTTTTAATTGTACCACGCTTGTCGATCAAAGCGCGGAATTTGAGATCATGGTCGAAGATATCCCATAGATCGGTCATATTGAGGAGTTTCTCGGCGCGAATGCTGTATTGGGCGGAGTCGTCGTCGGGATCGGCACCATTGGCCATATCTTTGACAGCATGAATCATGTAGTCTTTGCGATGCTGGAAAATGAACGGCACTTCCCAATCGTCCGTGATCAGGAATTCCAACATCTTAGCGACGGAGCGCTGGAATGGTTCGCGCAGTTCGGGATCCATGCGCTTCTTGAGCAACATCAAGTTTGAGATCCAGACTGCCTCCTCCCGGAATTGATCCTCGGACAATGTTACATGCTTATAGGGCTTGCGAGCAACCTGATGGCGTTCGGGTTCATCGAGGAGACGAATTTCGTTATCATCCTCCGTCAACATCCTCTCGGCCAGCTCGGATGGTTCAAAGACGTCCTTCAAGTCTAGGTGACGTTCTTCGGTTTGTTTGTCGGCGTCCTCTTGGTCCTCCATTTGCAGTGCGAAATCGTACTCTGTGCCATCACCGAATGCAGCGCGCATATCCTCAAGCGCATTTTCATCCAAGCCAGAGGTATCAGTCGGAATCAAGCCGGTCTTGTTGATTCTGGAGGCAGGCGCAACTCCAAGGTCATCCCGTTCGCGCTGGGCCTCATCGTCGGAGAAGGTATCCTCTTCAATAAAGTCGTCCATCTCATCGCGCAGACCACGGCGCTGGCCTGGTCTAGCATATTGTTGCGCTTCCTCCTCTTCGTCCGAGTTGAAAATATCGTCGACGCCGTGAGACGGTTGGTGGCTCTCGCGATCCTTGCCTCGCTTCAAGCGCTTAAACTTTGACTAATATCAGAGCATCAGAATCTTGTCAAGTCATGAGCTGCAGCTTACATACCTCAGTGGCTGGTCCACGATGCTGACTCGGACCATGTCCAATGAGTTCCAGATCTTCTTCATCAAGGTGCTCTTCTTCGCGAGCAGTGCGTGGGCGTTTCCTGTGTTTGCGAGCGGCACGTTCGTCTTCTTCATCTTCATCAACGATGAAACCTTCACGGACCTAAGAGTTCGTCAGCAAAGAGATACAACCCGGTGAAAGATCAAAAACTGACAGCGCGAGCAGCCTCCTCGTCATCTTCTTCTTCGTCTTCCTCCTCGCTCGAGTCATTGTAGTGGTTGGTGGTGCCTGGACCCTGGCGACCCTCGGCATCATAGTCGTCGGCGACTTCCTCATCGTCGTCATCCATGATCGCCTCACCCTCGATCAGGTCGCGAAGGCTCATCTTGAAATAAAGATCCCTATTGCTAGGGACCGAGGAGAATGCGGTTTCGGATGAAAGATTCAAGATACAATGGCGCAGATGCGACACCAGGTAGTGCCCAGCTCGTGAAGACGGTCAAAAGTGAAACAGGGAGGGTGAAATTGAAGCAATAGTTGTCAAGAGGAAGAATCACGGCCATCGGCGAGGAGAGGATGCGGGTGGCGGTGATTGGCTAGTGCTGGTGTGGCTAGACGCTAGTCCTATTAAGGCAGCCTAGTTGTGGCTTGAGACGCTCGTGTCACGTGCTATTGTCTTTATGTGTACATCGTACATTGTATATTCAACGATGCCCTGGTCGGATCCTCAATATGCATATCGCTTTGTACTATTGATGTAGGGCCGAGACTATCGAATATGCGCAAATTTGACCATTATCACCTATTTCATTTAGCCATAAACCCGTTGTGTAAAGCCACAAGTACCCAAAGCCAGCCTAAAAGACTGGTGGAACCCCCGAAACACCTGTTGTTTCATTGATTGTAGTGGCTTTCATAGTTCTTAAGGATCGTCTCTCTTTTTCTCCCTCCTATAATACCCATAAAAATCCAACAGACTTCTGTTTGGCGCCGACCGGCACATTTTGGTCATAGTTGGTTGAATCGACGCGCCCGAAAGGCCCAATCAGCGTCGCCAAGAACATCGCAAGGTGATATCGACTTCCCCGCTGTTAGCTCGGGGTTCGTTCTGACCACTCTGATCCCATCGGTTTGGGTAACGCGGTCTTGATATCACTCAGGCGGCTGGGTTCTTCGTTTTCTTTCTTTCACAACTTTCCCCTTGTGCAACTCCAACCCCTCCAACCAAGCGCCATGGCGGACCAGTTCCAGGCTCGGACGTTGAAACGCAAGAATGTCAAAGGTCTTGCTCTCAATGCAGCCCCTAAACCCACCTCCAATGCTACCGATGGCGATGCACAGGCTCCTGGGTCTGTTGGGAATAGCGAAGGCAACAACACAGATACGCTCGAAATCGGACTTGAGTTTCGCCTCGATCTTCGCAGTGAAGACCTGGTCACATTGAAGGAACTCGGCGCTGGAAATGGAGGTACTGTTTCCAAGGTGATGCACGCATCCACGAAGGTGGTGATGGCTCGAAAGGTGTGTATTGTGTGTTTCTGCTTGTTGGTCAGCTCTAATTTCCTCATTCCCCCGCAGATTATCCGTGTGGAGGCCAAAGAGAACGTGCGGAAACAGATTCTACGAGAACTTCGAGTCGGACACGACTGCAACTGTCCCAATATTGTCACTTTCTATGGTGCCTTCCAAAACGAAGCGAGAGATATTGTGCTATGCATGGAATATATGGATCTTGGGTAGGTGGACTGATATGGTAAACAAAGAGGATATAGCTGACGGACAATCAGATCTCTCGACCGCGTTTCTAAAGATTTCGGCCCTGTTCGAGTCGATGTGCTAGGCAAGATCACCGAGTCTGTCTTGGCTGGTCTTGTCTACTTATACGAAGCCCACCGCATCATGCATCGTGATATCAAGCCGTCCAATATCTTACTCAACTCCCGCGGTAACATCAAGCTCTGCGACTTTGGTGTGGCTACCGAGACAGTTAACTCGATTGCCGATACATTCGTTGGCACTTCCACATACATGGCTCCCGAGCGAATTCAGGGAGGCGCCTATACGGTCCGCTCCGACGTGTGGAGTGTGGGCTTGACGGTCATGGAGCTGGCCGTTGGAAAGTTCCCTTTCGATCACTCCGACTCTGCTGCCGGAAACCGTGCTAGCGCAGGGCCGATGGGGATCCTGGATCTACTCCAGCAAATTGTGCACGAAACAGCGCCCAAACTGCCCAAGAGTGATGCCTTCCCGCCTATCCTACATGACTTTGTTGGGAAGTGTCTCTTAAAGAAATCCGAGGAGCGTCCCACCCCACGAGAGCTTTATGTATGTTTATCTCTCTTTTTAATCTGCATCATTTTTTTAACGTGCACTAACTCCTCCCAGGACAAAGATGCCTTCTTGCAGGCCGCGAAGCGCACACCAGTCAACCTTGAAGGATGGGCAACGAGCATGATGGACCAAGAAAAGCGCAAGTCCTACTTGGGACCACCAATACCAACATCACTCTCAAGAGAGGGCTCGACGCCAACCTCAAACTCGACCTCATCTCCCGCCGCAGCTCCCACATCAACCACTATCGGGAAACCTCCCCTTGTCAGCAAGCCAACACGAACCCCACAGCAATCACCATTCCCATCAAACCCAGTATCAGGCGACATCCCTCTAAAGATCGCCAACGAGGTCCCATCCAGCCACCGTTACTACCCCCAGTCCCAGCCCCAGCCCCAGCCTCAATACTACTCATCGTCCTCGTCCCGAGCCACGCGGTCTCCGCCACCCCCTTCTCTGGAGCACCTCTCGCTGGAAGCAAACGACGAGGGCAGCCGATCCGGTCGTCGTGCGATGCGTCAGCACCTCAACGAGCCCGTTTCTGCTGTCGATGCCCCATCTCGCCCATTCATGAGCCCCCGCTCCGCCAGCTCCAACAACTCCAATCCCCGCACGAACCTGCACTCTACGACGATGCCCATCCGCACCGCGCCTCCGAACGGCCCGCCTCCCCCACCGCCTATTTCATCAGGCGGAAACTGGCGCATCCAACCAGGAACTACGCCTCGGTAATTTGGTGATGATCAGTTAATGTACTCGGATATATCTTGGTTCTATTTTCTTTCTATTGCCATGCCTATGTCCAGATGAACGTGCATATACACATGAAATGCCGATGTAATACGATTTCGGCTTTGATGATCGTGGACATCTGCTATTTCCTTGGCTGTGTTGTTCTGTCTGGTGTGTATTCACGGCGCTCTTGGAACAAAAAAGAAGCCAAGGCAAGCTGCCCTAACAGCACTTATTTTTTCTTCCATTGATCTATGGGTATCTCTCTCTCTTCTCTCTCTTTTTTTATTTTCTCCTTTTTACTTCTCATTCAATGACTCTGCTTTGATTGAAATATCTGGCAACGAACCCTATTTTGTTCATTTCTGACTCTATCTTTTTATCTGCTGGGATGTTCTTCCTGCATTACACGGCGTACATAAATATGTGCAATTTCATACTCTTTCAAACTCTGGTAGAAAACATGTGGATATGCCTCCCTTCGATAAATATTTCCAATAAACCACTTATATCAATCTAGATTTCAAATTCCGCACTCACTCAATCAACGTGTGGGATATTCGCTGTCCACGTACTTATAAATGCACCCGGAGGAAGAAAGGCCAATGAGCGAACGACCTCGACTGTTATAAACAATCTTGCCAGAATAAATACGACTAAGATGAGTACCAGCAACACTCTCTCAATCTATTCCAGTATCCTTGGTTGGCTTTCGACCTTAAACACCGTCACCGAAATTGGATCCAAGATTTGAATAAGCAGATAGGCAAATGGCATGGCAGCAGTCGTGACAACCGAACTCAGACGCCAGAATAGTTTCTTCAGCGCTGTAGGGAACTCAAAGTTCCATGCTACGCAGTGGGCAGCACCAAAGAGCACCAGAGCAAACAAGCAAGCCATGCTCATCACATATCCTGGCACTTTCCTTAGGACATCTCTGTGCGTGGCGTCATTGGGGATCCAGACGCTGCTTTTGGGACCGGAGCCCAGTGGGCCAGCATTGATTAACATGATATATGTGATCGAGGAGCAAATTGCGAAAGACAGGGTAAAGATCTCCAGCTGGCTTGTTGGGAACTTTCGACCTAGTCGTACGCCGAGCTGAATGAACATCCACGAAATCTGAAGTAATGCTAAGATCTTGACGACGAGATCACCACTGTTATGGTCCTCCAGGGAATCCTGCGACATGTAGGGCAGTTTTCCAATGATTCCAAGCTCACGGGCAAGGAGAAGCTAGTTCGCATCTACCACCCACATATTACCACAAAGAAGAGTGAGATTTCCAACCCACTCCGTGTATCACATGTTGAAGATTCTGTCTTCCTTTCCGTAGCCCTGGGAAACCATACTGTTTGCTTTTTCGATGGCAAGGATGTTGGATCTATCCAATGCCCAGTCGATTTTGCCAATCGCATTCGAGATCTTCTGCATTGACTTCTCAAGTATCTATGGGGTTGGTATTCCCTTCGGAAGACCATTTATAGAGGGTATCTCTTCAGTACCGGTAGCATGATCGGAATTCGCAAATTGAATAGGGAATCCACTGTTGGCGTAGTGTATATGGGAGTCAGATCATGGGACGCCATCTCTCTCCTGATACTCTGCAAATCGGGCCTTGAGTATCCTAATAGAGCACACATCACTGCAGGCCATTCCGAATGCCCACTCTGGAGCGAGAATGTTGATAACCATCCATTTGAGCTTTTTGGAGAATCGCCAAAGTGTTCGTATATACCTTTCGCGTTTCTTATATGGTGTTGACTGGATTGGGACATTGAGATGGAGTACAGGCTCTAGCGTCAAAGGGGGCCATATTGATTTTCTGTGGGAGTCTGTATATAAAAGCAAAGCGCTATGGGCGCAGCAAATAGTTCAACCGTTTCAACTACCCTTCTTTACGGCGAATCAGCATGGTTTGTTTTGTTCGCTGTACTTATTGGTTGACTCAAGGCTTGGGGACCAAGTCTATAACACGTAAGGAATAACCGCTATGACGGATAAATATAGAACAGATCAGTAAATACATTGTTAGATACCGATTATTCTATACTAATCCCTGCACATCTTGTATCTAGCACATTTATTTAGGCATCTGTTTACCCCATGAGCTGTACAATCGGTTTGTTTCGTGGGCTACTCTGTCGCGTGTCGTTCCATATCATAGAAACATGAAACACCAATGTTGTTTTATAGAAAGAATGAACAGCAAAACAAGTAACAGTACAACAGACTCAATATCTGAGGCGGCCGAGGATGGCGTAGTCTACAGAGTGTTTCATTGGAAGTATCTTGAATGAATATCTTGAATTATTGAATGACTGGCTGGAAATTGATATATTCAGCCGTAACAACATAACTGAGGTATACATAGAGAGCTGATGCGTTCACAAAGCAATGGTTTCTCGAGACCAACAACAAAAACATGTAACAGAGGCAAATCAGACCCATGAGCAAAATGATAGCGCAAATGAAAAAACCAAATAAAGTCATCAAGCTCTGAACACCAAACAAACCCCACGAAAAATCGGTTAACGTGTTCTCTATTTCATCATGAGCTCTGGGCCAGCTAGCGGACTGGGAGCAGGGGGTCCATGGGCAACACTCGGGGTCGATGGTGCAGGAGCAAGGTCTTGCATCGGGATCGATATAGACGACTTTCCACCCCGAGAGCTGTTAGTTCCACCGCGGCTAGAGGTCCCATTGCCGCCACCACGGCCACCTCGGCCTTCATGGGCAGCAGATGCAGCGTTAGCAGCGCGGTCGCTGCCGCCATCGGTCTTCTTGTTCCCTCGCGGACGGCGCGAGGTGCCACCCCGAGAGCCGGGTCCACGTAATGGCAGGCCAGTATCTTGGGAGACGGGCACGGCAGCTGCAATAGGAACGTGCGGGTGCGAGGTCACGGTCCGGCTCCGACCTGTTCCTCGCCCACGGCCACGGCCACGTTTGATTGTACCATCGGCGCTGCGGATAATTAGTAAATCTGTAGTAAGGGGATAGTGAATAGACATACCGTTCCACCTGGACCTTTTCTCCCTCCGGGACCAGTGGCCCACTGTAGACAAAGAACCCGTCCTTGCTGGCAGCAGCCTGCTCCTGCCACACCATTTCGGTGTCATCCACAAATGGATCATCACGGTCATATTCCTCGACCTTCTTGCGTCGCTTCTTCTTTCCATCGCTAGCTTCTGAGGGTGCACCGTTGGTTCCCGCGCCAGTGCCGCCCATGGGAACATCGCCATCCATATCACTATCGCGTTCCGCATCGAGGCTCAGGTCCTCGTCGGCACTCTCGCCGGCAGAGATTCCTTTGGCATTCTTATCATTTCGTTCCAACGCGGCCCCGGCAGCTGCCACACGAGCCATGCGCGCTTTGTGAGCGGCCAGACGAGGGTGCAAGGCAGCGAAGCCATATTGCTCTTCTGCAAGCCGTGCAAAGTTGACAATCTGGTTGCCCTTTTGTAGCGGAACATGAACGATGATGTTGGGTGTGCTACGCGAGTCGGGCGACTTTGCAGAATCATCCCCTCCGCCGAACAGCGCGTTTGTGATCAAGCCAGATCCTTGAGGTAGATGAGGGGCTTCTTTGGCAGGTCGAGCTGGCTTGGGAGATGAGGCCTTTGATGCCGGTGCAGTAGATGTGCTTTTTTCTTTTTTGGCGCTGGGTGCGGGCTGCTCTGTGGGGTCGATCTCCATTGATTCGGCTGGTTGTTGTCTGGGCGGAGTCGGCTGCAGAGCGGGCTCGGGTTGCGCGGGAGGTTGAGGTTGGCGCACCGCCGGCGGAGACAGTTCGAGTTTAGGAGTCTGTGGTGGTGCCGGCCGCTGCTCGGGAGGTGGGTATGGGGTGGTGTAGGGGGTGGACTGCGACATGGCCTGCGGGATGTGCATGGCTCCACGGGAAGCAGAGGAAACGGGAAGGGGCGATGGTGCTAAGGACGGATGTGAGGGCGTGGGAACCATCGCAGGCGGTGCCGGTGAAGAGAGGCCGGATACATGGCCAGAGGAGGATCGTTGAAGCGTGTTGTATATTGGCTGAGAGTTCTGGGCTGGTGGGTCGATGATGCTTGAGATCGCCGGCGAGGCACTGGCACGATAAGCATTGCGAGGAGAGATTGCGCGAGCAGGAGGGCTATATGATGGTGCCGGAGATGGATTGTCAAACGCAGAGCGAATGGGGTCGAAGTTTTGTCCGCTGGTTCGTTGAGGTGGTGGTTGGGGCACTGGAGGTTGCGATTGCGATTGTGGGCGAGAGGGTTGCGACAGCTGATACGAAGCTCCTGGAGCTGTAGGAGGGTGTGAATTTGAGTATGAATTTGGAGCAGGTTGAGGATGTTGAGGTTGAGCAGGTTGAGGTTGAGCTATTTGAGTAGGTTGAGTTGATTGAGCGGGCTGAGCAGGTTGAGGCGTTGCAGGGGCGTGTGGAGGGCTTCGGGCGTCTACCGGAGCGGGCCTCGTTTCCTCTGCCGCAGGTTCTAGCTTGGGCTTTTTCCGAGAAGCAGTGTTGTTTGACTTCTCCCGTGGGCGACGAGGAGCTCGGGCCGGTTTCTCTTTAGCTTCTTTGGGTTCCTTCTCCTTCTTGGTCTTGGTGTCGGGGTCGTCATCCTTCTTACGACGCGACCGCCTGGCGGTACCGGAGGCACGTCGGGCGCCTGTTCCGGGTTTGACATCGGTGTCAATGGGCCCTTCTTCTTTGGGTAAACCCATATTAGGAGGATCCGACATGATTTAACAAAATCACAATCAACAAAATGAAAATTGACAAATTGATGGAATTTAGTCAAAATCGAGATGGAGAGATGAGAGTCGAGTGGAAGTGGTGAAACGTGTCGGTATCAGGTCGGCAAACAGAGATTTGGGGGGAAAGAGGAACACAAGAAAGATAAGATGGTGACGGAAGAGAAAAAACACCAAGAAAACGCGGGAAAAGCAGAAAAAGAGAGGGACGCGGAAGGGGAGAAGGGGAAAACGTTGACAAGAGAAGAGAGAGAGGGTAGAAATAAGAAGGAAAGGGAGAAGGAGAAGGGAAAAAAAAAAAAAAAAGAGGGAAGAAAGGGGAGCGAGAAAGCAAGCAGACTGGAATTAAAGCACATTACATGGCAAAGTACTGGACTACAATTTGATATGTCAAGCTCTATACTACTTGGAAATATGGGGGAATTACTGTCTAACTCGTATATAGAGTTATCATAGAGCTATACCTCTACAATATTGTAGAGTTATATTTTACTGAGGTCATTGTTGAGTATTGGAGATCATATCCATTATTCCCCTGCGGATCGTTTAGGCTAGAACCGTAAGTTGTACGGAGTACCTGGTACAGGGATGGCTTCATTTACCGAATAACCTCGTTCTTCAAATCAGGTGCTCGCCATATTTTTGAGGACTATATCTGACTTAAGGCCTGCTATTTCTTGAGTTTTATACATATGTAGATAATACAATTCAAGTTAATATTGATCCTGCTCGTGTATCCCCGTGGGAGCTTATGATAGGTACGACAAATATCAAACTTCGATGTTCATAACAATAGCTTAAGAAAGAAAAAAAGACAAAAATTTTGTTTCTATATCAATCAATATGAATGATCCGATCAGTATCCAACCCGTCATATATAGCATCGAAACATCGACGTGAGTTGTATAGATGCCACGGATCAATGTGAGGAACCCAATTGGGACTAGCACATCCGCCATCTCCCACTAGCCTATTGCGGTTAGCCTGTTCTGCAGCCCCATTTTAGCTTTGGGAGCCGCATCCTGGATCTCCCCGCGCTGACATAAACTTTTTTTTCTCCTCTTCACCTTATTTACGCATCATGGCTTTTCGCGGTGAACGCTTCCTTCTCGACCTAGATGAGGAATCTGGTACTCCAGAAATCCCTTCTCCATTCTCTCTCGTCGGCGAGATCCAAGAACGGGCTCCTTCCACCGCCATTCCCCCCGCGCCTAAACTGCCGACCTTGTCGGCGTCATCGACTGGATTCCCTGCCCCTCGCCAGCGCAAGCCCTCTTCCTTCAAACAGCGACGAGCAAACCAGCCCACTCCTCCGGCTCCTGCCCCTACTGAACCGACCGCCCAAGATGACAAGAAACGTATCGACGAGGAGAACCGCCGTCAGCTGGCGGCCATGTCGGACGCGCAGATCCAACAGGAACGAGAGGAGCTGATGGAACAGATGGATCCAGGACTTCTGGAACGATTCCTCCGCAGAGCAAACATCGAAGAGGACCAAAAGGCTGAATTTGAACCGCCGGCACCTGTGGCCGACGAAAAATCCAAACCAAAAAAATCAGTTTCGTTCGATATTCCTTTGTCTGCACCGGTTTCTGCACCAACCGCACAGTCTCATTCTCTACCAAAACCATCACCTAAGCCGCACCCCCGTAATGAAGATCTCGCTCCAACCACCCTCCCACAAGACCTCCACCCGGCCTCTGAACGGCCCTCCCTTGACCCCGCTACTCTCGAAACCTTCCACTTCCCCCAGCCAACAGCGCCGATGCCAGTCCTGGACCCATCTTCACCATCTTTCCTATCAGACCTCCAGTCACACTACTTCCCCGAGATAGCCCAGGACCCATCAACGCTCTCTTGGCTGCAGCCCCTCTCTGCCGACGAAGAAGACCCAGACTCGACATCAGCCTACCACCCAGCCAGCAACGCCATCTCAATGGCGCCCTCGGCAATTCGCTTCTCGCTAAGAGGCACCATTCTTGCCCCCGAAACATCCCTCTCCCTCCCGACAACCATGGGCCTGCACCATCACGGCGAGGATCCGCATGCCGCGGGCTACACGATCCCCGAGCTAGCGATTCTGGCACGCTCAACGTTCCCCGCTCAGCGATGCATCGCATGGCAGGTCATTGGCCGGATCTTATTCCGTCTCGGTCGGGCAGAGTTTGGAGATCGGGGCGGGCAGCTGTCCGATGGACTGTGGTTTGTTATTGAAAAGGAGGGCATTGTTGCTGGTATGCTTGCCGAGGCCGATGGCGCTGCTGGTCAGACCCAGGGTAGAGATAAGGGCAAAAATACAAAAGAGGCCGAGGAGGGTAATAACTTGCCTCTTGCGTCCGGTGTTGGTCGCCATGCTAGTGCTGCTGCGTGGGCGGTTGAGGGTATCTGGTTGTGGCAGAAGGGTGGTGGTGGTGATCGTGGGTTGTTGAAGGAAGGCCAGCATCGATCTCTATAGATGGTGTTTTTATTGCATTTCATTTGGTTAAGGAAGAAACTAACACTAGAAATATTTTTATGCATTACAGTCCAGAAAGCCATGATAATTTTCATTTGTAACAGTTACAGATCTACAGTTTCTAAAACTGGAATGTCCCATCAGTCCCATGATCACTCGCATCCAACTTTGGCCATCCCCTTCTCTGCCCACCCCGGCTATCGATGTGAGATTCGTCAAGAGACAGATCGATATCCGCAGTAGAACAGAGACGAAGATGGGGACCCAAAGCCAAACACGAGAATTGCAACGGAATGTTGCAGTGCAACATTCAATTGCAATGTTAGGGGTTCGTGCATAGCACATTTTGCAATGGTCATTGATATATCGCATCCGATACAGAGCTTATTCACTTCCGAAGAAGGAATTTCAAGGCATGGATCTCGCCTTGCGCTCCACCTTACAGCGCGAATGGTATGGTATCTTATGAGGGAGTAGAACATGAGCAGAGCAGAAGCAAGAAACTTGGAGTATGGGTATTAGTAGACTATGACTGAGATCAGGCGAAAACACGAGTCCGCTTCACAGGGCTGCCCATGCGCATAGAGGCATTTCCGCCGGCCATACCATTCAGTAGGCGGCTCATTCCTTCCACATCCAGCTCGCCTCGTCGGAGCATCAGCTGGTCGGTCTCTTCTGTTTCTTCCTGTTTCACTGCGGGCAGGCTTTCCTCGACGGATTCTGTTAACTTCGGGGCGAGGATCATGATCTGGTGCTCCGCTGCCACGAGTACATCGAAGGCTTGTCGCTCTGCTTGCCGGGATCGGCGTGCCGGTGCAGGTAGGTGTCCAATTGCCTGGAAGTTCTGGCCCATCAAGTTCACGTCTTGGAAAGGAGAAACGCGGCATCGGTTTGAGGAATCAAATGTGCCGGTGGTTTTGACAGCGTTGCGCCACAAAGACAGTAAGCTCGTGATGACCGCGCTCTGGCGGCCGTGACGGAGCAGGATCGACTCGTCGGGCAATACATCCGAGGATGGATTTGTCTGCAAGACATAGATTTGGCCGCGGTGGGACGGACTGGCTGTGCTCATCGATCCCTTCAGCAAGCCATCTTCGCGTACACGTCTTGTGGATGGTGTCATAGGCGCGAATCGGGGTCGCTGCTCTGTTTCGGAGTTGGTGTTGGAAAGTGGTGTCATGATACGGCCGCAGACAGCGTATGCCGTCAATGAACCGCCAGTCACACCTTGGACACTCGTCTGACGGTGCAGTGGGCCCTTAACAGCACCTGGACCGGCGCCTTCTATATCCCATACGCCCCATTCGCCGTCTTCGAGAAGCACCATAACTGCTCGGCCGCCTAGCACCCAGTCGGCATCAATGATTCTCTTCCGCCGGGGTAGGCCGGTGGGTCCTTGCTCAAAGCCGGGGTACAGACTGATCAACCAGCGACCTTCCGTATCGATAGTTTCGTAGTCTTCTTGCGGCATCGAAGCCCGCCGTGAGGATTTAGTGGCCTTTTTGACGAAGCAGGAATAGATTTTGACACATCCACCGTGGAATGCGACAAGCAGGTTGGCATGGCGGACAGATGGCCATGTTGATGGGTTAAAAGCAATCGTCTGTGCAGGTGCTGGCAAGAGGCGCCTTTGAGAGACGATATCTTCTTCCACGAGACGGAAAGAGGATTCCTCGCGGATTGGAATTCGGTGCAGCAACAGCGCACCACATCCCTCTGCAGAATGCGTGGCCACAAGCAGGTCCCATTTACCAAAGTTTCCAAATCGGCCCCGTGACTTCCGCTGGTCTTGCTCATCCTCATGCTCATGACAGGTGAATGTGATAGATACACCACGTGGAATATCTTGATGAGTGGTGGCCCCATTGACCGAGAGGGTTTGGATGCGCCAGCTCTTTGAATCCGTCTGCGTAGGGTGAGGGGGCACAAGTGGCAGAGTCACAACCTTGGTCGAGAGGTCGGAACAAACTACCGACACAACGATTGTGTTTCTCAAGATAGGTGGGAAAGGGTCTAGAGGCGAGCGAGCTTCCTCGGGGAGAACACGAGGCACCGCCACATCCAGCACACGGCTTCCAAGGGGAATATCAATTTGTCGCAGAATCTCTTCGTACGGAGCAGCGGGATCAACCTCGCTCTCCTCCAGACTGAATTCAACCACAGGCTCCTCTTGCGCTGGCTCGGGTTCCTCTTCATCATCGGAGTCAATGATCATAACTGAATCAGGATCCGCATTATTTCCTGCGGGCTTTGGCTTCGCTTGAGGCCCAGTCGGCTTTAGTTCTGCAAACCGTTTCCCTCCTCTCCACACAATTTTTAATCCAGTATCGTAGCCGTAAATAATGACCGAGGAGCCATTCGGGGCTCGAAGTGGGTAGCCTTTGGCTGTGTGGATGTGATGGGAGAGCGGATAGCTAAAGATTTTGCAAAACGAGATCAGCGTCAATCCAAGTATCATGACCAAAGCGCATCACTCATACCTGATCTGCAAGCCATCTTCCCTAGATCTAACCAAGGGAGTAGTGGGAAATGACGGCATTGTGCTAGTTGCGATGCTGTCGAGCTACAGGTAGCTTCGAGCACAGGCGCCACAGGGCACCGCAGGGGTGATAGACAGTCGAAGATTTGTAGTCAAAGTAAGATCTGATAACTGAATGCCTGTTTCTAAACAAAAGCAGACAGAGAGAAGGAGGTTAGAGGTAGGGAGAGTGGAGGGTTGCGTAGATGGAGAAAGGAAGTTGTTTTGGTCGGGAAAGCAAAGACAGTTGATCCAGTCCGCGTTCCAGCGCGTCTTCCAACTTCGACATTCAACCACTCGGCATGTCTTCTGGGCGCACCGTTAATTAATCTTACATTAACGATGGAAATGATTTCAACGATTTCGACTGCAGAACTGTTTGTGACGGCGCACCACGATCGCTACCCCGGCTGCTAATCAGCCCACCATGGCGTCAGTTCGCTCTTTGGGCGTCCACGAACCCTCGGCCGTCTCCTACCTAGTCGCAGAGGGAATCCTCCCCCCTGAACCCTCGGAAGACCATTACAACTGGACGCTATGCGTCGACGAAAGCGGATTGACTGGCCCCGTGGACGATGAGCTAGTATGGACGAAACACTGTGTTGTATGGTCCCGCGCAGGGATGGTGAAGCGAGTATTTCGAATGGACCCTGAGAAAGAAGAGATTCGACATGCTCTGTTCACTCGGTTTGCAACGGAAGACACCAAACGCTCTAAAGCCACGCCTCCAAGTCGACCTGAAGCAACTACTGGCACGCAGAAACAAAAGCGGACTGAAACCTTTTCAACATTGGATCTACATGGAGATGCACGAGTGGCGGTTGTAGCTCCCCAGCACTCTAACGAGGCTCTTTCTAGAGCTTTGGTGGTAGTCCTCAAATCGCAAGCTCATATCTTCTTCGTGGCGGGCAATAGCCATACAATTCCCCTTCCATTTGAGGTTGACTCCGTCTTTGCTACGCCTCGGGGTCTTATTTTCCAAAGAAAGGTCCAGGATGAAAATGGTAGTAGTCAACACCCGACTGCGCCGCCGAATTCCTTCATGTCTGCTTCGCTATTCGACCCCGGTGCCTCTCAGTCATTTTCTCTCAGCAAAAACAAGCGTCCATCGACGAAATCGTCATCTGCTCCAGGTCCTTCCTGGGTACCAAATGCTAGCTCAAGCACGGAATTACCCCGAGTTTTTTCTCTCATTAACCCTCATTCTGAGATGGGTCTGGTTGTGACATCGCAAACTTCCCGCTGGCTTCAGAGCAGTGTCAATAGTACCAGAAGAAGGCCATCCGGGCTAGAGGTGTTGGACCCTGTGGATGAGATTGTGTATATCTCTCCAAAAGACGAGCTTTCGGGCACCAACAGACCAAACAGTGCCCCTTTGATCCTAGTGGTTACCATCAACACAACTACAAGTATCTATACGATCTGGACTGCGCGCTACAAAGATGATGAATCAGGCGGCTCAATGAAAGATAAAACCAGACGGGAAACAGGAGGTACCCGGTCAGTAAGGCGAAGCTCGCATTTCGGGATGGCGACTGGCGCGACAACACCGGCCGCTCGCTCTGGAGCAACCCGAGAGAGCTTTGGGCCTCGGACGGACAACTGGCCTTCCACTCAGCTATCTGAAGGGAAGACTGATGCTGAAGACGACTTGGCTTCGAGAGTAGCCCAAGACTTCGGAGATGTCGGAGTTCCCCTCAAAACATCAAGGCGGGTCAGTTCACTGCTCGCCCGAACAGACCTTGCAACTAGCCAGGACCGTATCACTTTTTCGGACCTGGCCACTGGCAGTCAGTCCAGCACCATGCCTCATGGTGTTGGGTTCAGGCAGTCTATCGGAGGAGCAAGCACTCGTGGTAGCTTTGGTTTCAACCCTCGAGGCTCTCTGCCTCCAGGCGCAGGGTCTGTTTACAGCACTGCAGGCAGCTTTCTGGATACCCCAGTGGACAAGCTACTCGAAGAGCTCAACAATGACGGTCTATCTTCCGGGTTCGAGAACATTGCCCTACGCGAATCGACATCAGGTCTCCCGGAAGAACTTATATTGACCAAGATTGAAAGTTTTCCGTCCCAATTCTCAGGCAGCTTCCAAAAAGAGCCAGCATCCCGCCGGTTGAAGATATCCACCTTGGCGTCCACCGAGTTTGGAAGTGCCCACAAAGGCAATACAGCTTCCCTGGCAGTATACATCGTGGAGCAAGAGGCTCAGAAATTAACTATTGTGAATTTGAGGGCCGAACGAGAGCCGATTCCCAAGAGCCGGAAGAAAAAGTCCAAGACCACCGAGCAGCGTCCGTTGCTCGTGCGTGCGGTAAGGATCCAAAATGTCTCAAAGGTCTTGGATGCTTGTAGAATCTCCGATGGGGATCTTTCGCGAATACTCTCGCTAAGTGAAACGGAAAGCGGACACCGCGAGCTATCATTGCAAACCCTGTGGGGTAGTCCGGTTAAAGTTGAGGTTCCTGTGCCACTGCAGCTCTAT